AAGAAGAAATCAGTTTTCCAGAGTCTGTGGCAATGCCCTCTTGTTTGTCACCCCACTGCTTTTGTGACAGGATTATCTGTTTCTATTATGATTCCTGCCTCCTATAAATTCACCGTCAGCCTTCATGTCACAAGACTGAGCCCAAAATGAAAATGTCTCTGAGAGCATGTGTGCAGAGTTAGTGAATCACTTACCCTACAATATGGCTCCTTCTTTTTTATATCCTCCTGCTGGATCAGCCTCAGGCCCTGGACACCATTCTGCAGGCCTCTCTCATATAAGGCCTGAAGTCTGGGAATTTCTTCTTGTTCAACAGCTACTATAAGCTTCAAAAAGAAAAAGAGAGATAAAGAATTTGATACAGTTAAACATACCATCAGCTATGAAAGATAAAGTCAATAGGAAATTATTGCGATAAATTATGGCATAACTCAAATTAGGTTGATTTTTTTTTTTAATTGTTTTTTTCTTCAAGTGTCTACTTCTCCCTTTCTTGATGACCTCGTTTTCCTCCTCCACCAAAAAAGATTCTTTTAAGAAAACTACATTATAACAAAATTTCTCCAAAGGTAAGATGTAGCCTCAGTTTTCACTTCTGATATCACAGTCGTTACATGCATCTTGGTCATAAGCAACTGTTATCACTACCACTCCCTCAATCTCAGGGAAGAGTGGACCATGGTTGCTTAGTCTTTATGTTAAAAACAAAACAAAACAAAACAAAACAAAACAGAATGGTCTTCTTGCTTCTATAAGAGAATGTAAAACACCAGTACCTCAGAAAGAAGGCCAGCATTCAATATAATGGGATATCACTAACAGAAAACTATTTTATCTCCTGAATAAAATACATTACACAATATTTACTAATGCTTTCCATTTCAGAGGGAAAAGAAAAGGTAAATTTATCAACTTTACTGATTTATTTCTGGGCAAAGTATCTATTTGAAATAGTTTCTTTCTTGCTTAACAGCTCCCAGCAAAGGAAAGCGCAGATGTGTATACACAAGTAAATTAAAATTTACAAAGAACCATTTCATAGAAAGGAGTCAACAGAATTTCATAACACTTTTAATCAAGGTGGAAAGGTTATTTAAATCAACAAATAATTAACCTTAAAAATCAAAATGCAATCAGAGGACACTACCAAGAAAGTAAAAACACAATCCACTAAATGGGAGAAAATATTTGCAAATTATTGGTGTCCAGGGCATGAGGCTGATCCAGCAGGAGGATATAAATACACAGATACTAGCTATCTATAATATATAAAGAATTCTTATAACTCAACCATAAAAACTGTAAATACAGTTTTATATCTTGCTTTTTTTCAATTAACATCATGTCAGGACCTTTTTCCCATATCATTAAAAAAAAAATCTTCAGAGCATTTTTTAATGGTGACAATAAACTTTTATTCTTCAAAAAGTTACATGGAGAAGACTTATAAGGGAATATTATGAATAACTATATGCCAGCAAATTAAATAATCTATATGAAATGGACAAAGTCATAGAAAGACACAAACTTCTGAAACTGACTCAAGAAGAAAAAGAAAATCTGAATAGACCTATAACAAGTAAAGAGATTGAATTAGTAACTTGAAAATTTCCCACAAAGAAAAGCTTTAAGGACTTTACTCATGAATGCTACCATACGTTTAAATAAGAGTTAATACCAATTCTTTATACACTCTGCCAAAAAACAGAAGAGGAGGGAACACTTCCTAACTAATTCAAAAACCTGATGCAAAAACTTGAAAATACTAGAAAACTGAGTGTAGTGATATAAAAAAAGGATTATATAGTGTGATCAGGTGGAATTTATGAATGCAAGATCAATTTAACATCCAAGAGTCAATTAATGCAATATATCACAAAATAGAATAAAGGACAAAAACTACATGATTGCCTCAAAAGAAACAAAGAAGGCCTTTGAGAAAATTCAACACCCTTTCATGATTAAAAAGCACTCAACAAACTAAGAATAGAAAGGAACTTCTTCAATCTGATCAAGGTAATCTACAAAAACCCACAACTAGCTTCATACTTAATAGTGACAGTGAATGCTTTCTCCCCATAATCAAGAAAGACACAAGGATGTCTACTTTCACCACTTCTATTCAACATTATATTAAAGAGTCTACCCAGGGAAATTAGGCATGAAAAAAAATATAAAAAGTATCCAAATTGAAAAAGAAGTAAAACTATCTTATTTGCAGAATACATGATCCTGCATATAAAAATTCTAAGGAATCCACACACCAAAAAGAAAAAAGAACTGTTAAACTAATAAATAACTTCAGCAAGGTTGCAGGATAAAACATCAATATATAAAAATCAATTATATTCTACATATTAACAATGAATAATCCAAAATTAAATTAAAAAACAATTTCCCTCACAAAAACATCAAAAAGAATACAATTTAAGAATAAATTTAACAAATAAAGAATAAATTTAACAAAAGAAATGCAATATCTATACACTGAAAAATATGAAACACTGATGAAAGAAATAAAAAATCTAAAGAAATGGAAAGATTCTCATGTTCACAGTTTGCAAGATTTAATACTGTTAAGGAGGCAACACTCCCCAAATTGATCTGTAGATTCAACACAATCTCTACCAAAACCCCAGCTGCCTTTTTGGAGAAATTGATAAACTGACCCTAAAACTCATATGGAAATGTAAGGGACCCAGAAGAGCCAAAACAATCTTGAAAAAAAAAGAACAAAGTTGGAGGACTCACAATTCCTAATTTCAAAACATAATAAGAGAGCTACAGTAATCAAGATCATGTGTGTTGGCATAAGGGCAGACATAATAGAATTGAGAATCCTAAACATACCCTATTACATTTACACTCACCTGATTTTTGATAAAGGTGTCAAAACAATGTAGAAAGAGCAGTCTTTTCAACAAATGGTGCTGAAGCAACTGGCTATCCACATGCAAAAGCATGAAGTTGAAACCCTTCCTCACGCCATACATCAAAATTAATTAAAAAGTGATCATACACTGGAGTACAGGTGCAGGTCATAGGGTAGGGAGCTCTTGGTGGCAGGGTCTGGGGATAGGACAGTATGCTAGCTGTGAAGGTGGTAAGAAGCCCCTGAAGGAGTCCAAGAAGCAGGCCAAGGAAATGGACCAGGAAAATAAGGTATTCAAGCAGAAACAAAAAGAAGAGCAGAAGAAATGCAAGGAGCTGAAAGCAAAGGCTGTGAAGAAGGAAATTCCACATTAGAAATTTAAAAATGTGGCAAAAAAAAAAAAGAAAGCTTTTCCTTATGCCTGAGGCAATGATGATCCTTAATTTCATTCCTGTTTAAACATCTGGATTCTCTGCCATAACATCTGCTGCCACCTATAGCTAGAATGTAGTGCTGTCTTGGAGCCAGCTGTTTATTTAAGAATGAACTTTTGTTTAAAAAACAAATCATACTGTGGTGCATGTTCTCTTTAGATCTTCTCACTTAGCCATTTCTACCTTAGCTGTGAGATCACAATAAACTCAGCCTAGAATCTTGCTGAAGTCTGCTCTTCGGTCTTTGTTCTACCCCAATTTTATATCGTTTGGAATAAAATCAGCTAATTTGAGAAAAAAAAAGTCATGATAGATCTAACTGTCAGAGCTAAGGCTATAACAAAACTCAGAAGAAAATGGAGTAATTTTTCATGATCTAAGGATAGGTAATGATTTTTTTAGATATAACTCTAAAAACCCAAGCACCAAAAGAAAAAAGTATAAACTAGACTTCATAAAAATTAAAAACTTCTGTGCTTCAAAGGATATCATCAATAAAGTAAAAAAAGAATATCTACAAAATGGGAGAAAAATTTTAGCGATATTTTTAAAATTACTATTGCTATTACTATTATATTACTTTAATAATAAAAAACATTTTAATATCTTAGCGGTATTTTAGTAAATATTGGTAATAAGGGACTATATCCAGAATATATAAATAACATGTACAACTCAACAATAAAAAGACAAATAATCCAATTTTTAAAATGGGCAAAAGATTTGAATAGACATTTCTTCAATAAATATAAATGAATGGCCAATAACATGAAAAGATGCTCAACATCATAACAACTAGGGAAATGCAAATCAAAACCATAGTGATACACCACTTCACATTCACTAGGATGGCTAAAATAAAAGAGACATACAATAACAGGTGTTGGCAAGGATGTGGAGATATTAGAATCTTCATTAATTGTGCTTGCTTCAGCTGCACATATACTAGAATCCTCATTAATTGATGGGAATGTAAAATAGTATAGCACTTTGGAAAACAGTTTTGCAGCACCTCAAAATGTTAAACATAGAGTTACCATATGACCCAGCAATTCCATTCTTAGGTATACATCCAAGATAAATGAAAACAGGTCCATACAAAAGCATGTCAATAGCATCATTACTCATAGTAGCCAAAAAGCAGAAACAACCCAAATGTCCATCAACTGATAAATGAATAAACAAAATGTGGTATATCTATACAACATAAAATATAAAAAGGAATGAAAACATGCTAAGTGAAAGAAGCCAGTCATAAAAGACACATATTGTACGATTCTATTTACCTAAAATGCCCAGAATAGACAAATCCACAGAAACATACAGTATATTAGTGGTTGCCAGGGGCTGAGGAGAAGTAAGAATAGGAAGTAAAGGGAATGGGGAATGGCTGTTTCTTTTTAGGGCAATGAATATGTTCTAGAGTTAGACAGTGGTAATAGCTGCACAATTGTGTGAATACGCTAAAAACTGAATTGTACACTTTAAAAGGGTGAATGGTATGGTATATAAATTATATGTCAATAAAGCTGTTACTTTAAAAATTACATGGTTAGTCACATCATCTTTTTTAAGTTCATTATTCCCTAATATTAGATTGTGTAAATTACATAACTATAAAGAAAGAAAAGCTAGGTATATTTTTACTTAACATCAGACATCAATATGAAAATGTTAGTTGTAAATAAGTCAAGGCCCTAATAAAATACCATACCTTGCCACATTGCTTGTAGGAAATTCCCTTTTGGTTACAGTACTCATAGATGAGGGCTGCGCCTTGTACACATAATTTAGCTTTCAGAGATTCAGGTTTATAATAAATTCCACTATGTATGACACCACTGTTATGTCCAGTCTGGTGAATAGCTATCAAACAAGAGAAATGGGATAAGAGAAAGTACACGACTCACACAAAACCTAAGAAGTGGGAGAACAAACATAGTTGAAGCTCTCAGAGACCAAATTATTTACAAGTCTTACAGTCAGAGCACAAGGTAACTTCCTTTAGCAGCCATCCCTGGTGTCTGTCACATCTCTTCAGCCAATCTCTAATTTCAGTTACAATTTTGGTGCACAAACTCACCTCACACTACCAGCAAACCACTTTAAGGGCCCACTATAGCCCCATTCTGCCCCAGGACCTTTTCTAATGTGGAGAAGGGAATTCAATACCCCTAGGGGCAATCCTCAACCAGTAAGGATGCTCTTCTATGGAATCAAACCTACAACAGCAACTTTGATAATGTACCCTCATGTGGCTTTTCCTCCTTTCTTGTTTGCTCTACTCACCCCCTCACCCCTGTTTCCTACATAACCTCTCAAATAAATAATCTATACCCAGGTCCTAGTCCCAGGCTCTGCTTTACGGAGAACTCAACCTAAGGTACTAAGAGTGACATTCAGCATGACAGACACAGAATTGACAAAATGAGCAGGTGCTCAGGTTACGCCAGAAGAGCAACACTGATAACATACATACCTAAATCCTTCTCCTTTTCCAGAACACCAATGGAAAGTGCTGGATGTCGCAGGATGAGTGCTCTGGCAGAGGCAAGCCCCACAATTCCGCCACCGATAATGACTATATCAAATGAGCTTTAAGATAAAGTCACCTTTAAAGTAATGCATGGTTACAGTAGACCTCATCAAACTTCACATGCATAATTTTTATCATGCATGGATAATTAAACTATTAATTTGTAATCATTAAAAGCAAATATTTATTGGGCTTTATTCTATTTGGCTTCATACTCATGAAAAACACCTTTAAAAGTTACATGCATTACTGGTCATTATAATGTACAATCAGCTACACTCAGCAGGCAGGTGGCTAGTTGTCCAAGCTGTGCTACATCTCCACAGTACTGGGCAGGCTA